CTAGGTTGATTTTACATTTTTTGATGGTTTCCCTTGCTGTGAAAATCTTCTGCTTTTTAGTTTGCGGTCCCACTTGTTTCTTTTTGCTTTTGTTGTTTTTGCTTTTGGTGTCATATCCAAAAAATATTGTCAAGACTGACGTCAAGGAGCTTATCTCTTATGTTTTCTTCCAGGAGTTTAATGGTTTCAGGTTTTACTTTCAAGGCTTTAATCCAATTTGAGATGATTTTTCTTAAATCATACCCCAGATAACTAGTGAGGTTGAGCATCTTTTCATGTGCTTGTTGACCATTTGTATAACTTTTTTGAAAAATGTCTATGCAAGTTCTTTGCCCATTTTTTAATTGGATTATTTTATTGTGGTTGCCTTTGAATTGTAGTCATGCTTTATATATTCTGGGTATTAACCTCTTATCATGAAGCTTTCCCTTTATGTTTTCTTCTAAGAGTTTAATAGTTTTAGCTCTTACATTTAGATTTTTGATACATTTTCACTTAATGTTTTGCATAGTGTAAGGTAAGAGTCCAACCTTATTCTTTTGCATGTGGATATCCAGTTTTCACAGCACAGTTACTGAAAAGACTGTCCTTTCCCCACTGAATGATCTTAGTATCCTTGATGATAATTATCTGACCATATATGTGACAGTATTTTTCGGGGTCTCTATTCTGTTTCATTGGTCTATACATCCATATATATGCCAGTATCACACTTTTTTGATTACTATAAATTTGCAATCAAAAGGTGTGAGCCAGCTTAATCATCAATGAGTCCAGAGTCAAAAGAAAATCTGTTTTGGATTTCATGCTCCATTGGATCACTCAAGGCACTCTCTTCTTAGCTTTACACTTCCTTTCCCATTTTAATAAAATAAGAATTTGGCTATAGCACTGGTGTTTTTAGAATAAGCCCCTTCCTGGGCTTCCCTGGTGGCGCAGTGGTTGAGAGTCTGCCTGCCGATGCAGGGGAGACGGGTTCGTGCCCTGGTCTGGGAAGATCCCACATGCCGCGGAGCGGCTGGGCCTGTGAGCCATGGCCGCTGGGCCTGCGCGTCTGGAGCCTGTGCTCTGCAACGGGAGGCCACAGCAGTGAGAGGCCCGCGTACCACACACACACACACACACAAAAAAAAATAGAATAAGTCCCTTCCTGACTGCATGAATGTTTCCTCAGCAGGAATCATAGGGGCTAGAATGAGGAAAGACTTGGCCTGACAGGAGCCAATCATGAAGGTAGAGGGGCATCACCTGTGAGAAATGAAACACCCCTCGACCCAGAGGACCTATGTCAGTTGAGGCAAACTGGGGACACTAAATATATGGCATCAGGGATTCCCACCCAAAGGACACATCCTCAATCTCTTCTGCAAACTATTACTCAAGATGCCAGTTAGACTTGCATTGTGCATGAGATAAGCATTCCCAAAGGGCTTTGCTTGAAGTTTGTTTGTAGGGGTCAGGGGGCTGAGATATTTTGAGGACTGTGGCTCTGAAGATAACATGGGAATATCTTCTCCAAGGGCCAATTAGCCGTGGAGAGAAACAATTCCTAGAGTCCCTGGCTTGTTTTTCATCCTGGAACCCAGATCACTCTTGCCCCTTTCCCTCCAACCCTTTGGAGAAGACAATCTGAGAAAGATATAGTCTCTATTGCCCACGGGAGCCTGTGGAGGTTTCCCCCTGTGCCATATCATAGGAAAAAAGTCAAGGAATGGTGGCAGGCGATTACCACTAGTACTTCCCACCCTCGCTGTTGGTCATACTCCAATTTTATAGACTACATTCATAGAACATGTCCAAAGACTTCAGATACAGAAGAAAAGAAAGTGATGTATCTACACATCTCCTCCTTATTTACTCCCATCTCAGTCTTATGCCCTGCTCTCTTCTCCATTAAAGGATCTATTGAGCTATTCTTTGCTCTCTATCTCAACTCAGATACTAAAATGTCTTATTTCACTGAGTTTATCTTGTTGTTTATTCTTTGAGTAGATTCAGTGTATCATCACTTTCCTCAAAACTTCTGTCTAGGGCTTCCCTGGTGGCGCAGTGGTTGAGAGTCCGCCTGCCGATGCAGGGGACATGGGTTCGTGCCCCGGTCCGGGAAGATTCCACATGCCGCGGAGCGGCTGGGCCCGTGAGCCATGGCCACTGAGCCTGCGCATCCGGAGCCTGTGCTCCGCAATCGGAGAGGCCACAACAGTGAGGGGCCCGCGTACAACAAAAAAAACAAAACAAAACAAAACTTCTGTCTAATGATTTACTTGGTGCTCTCAGTCTTGCCAGAATATAATACCCCTCTAGTTAAAGCAGTTATGGCATTTATATAATGCATTAATTTATTTGACCAATATTTGATGATCATCTACTAAGTTCCAAGCACTGCATTGTGTACAGTGACAAGCAAGCATGGTCCCTTCCCCCAGGGGGACCTAGAGATAGAACAGATAAATAAACAAATATACTATATTGGGTTAATAATTTGTAGTAAGCAATACTCTTCAAATGCCAGTGACATTAAAACAAAACTTATACTATCTTAAGGGAAGGGTGTGGAATCACAGCAATGGCTAGGGTAGAACTCATCTCAGAACCAGCTAGAGCCAGTTACTTGAATCATGTCAATGCCTTCTTTTTCCATCTCTCATCTTGGCTTGGGTCTCTGTTTTGATCTCATTCTCTCAGGCATTTTTACATGCAGGGTACCCATACAGCTGGAAGCTCTGATGCCATACTTCTGGCTTGAAATCTAATACTCCTCCACCCCCAGTTGCAAAAACTCCAGGGAAGAAATCTGTTCAACAGTTTAGCCCTGTGGCCACACCTTGGAGCAATCACTGTGCACCAAAGCCTGCAGTGAAAGGATAGACTTCCCTGGGACACGTGCCCATCTCTTGCAGGGGTTGGAGAGGGAGGGTGGTGATAGAATAAGAAAAACATGGATTTGGGGGACCTTCCCTCGTGGTCCAGTGGATAAGACTCCATGCTCCCAATGCAGGGAGCCCGGGTTCGAGCCCTCGTCGGGGAACTAGATCCCACATGTGTGCCGTAACTAAGTCCACATGCCACAACTAAGACCTGGTGCAGCCAAAATAAATAAATACTTTTAGAAAAAGGAGAAACATGGATTTGGAATGGCGTAATATTAGAAAGAAAGTGTGGTTGTGAAGGGGTGACTTTAGCAGAAGTAGGGAAGGAGTGCATGACAGACAAAACAATGCATGTCCACTGCTAAACTATGATGAAGAAGAATTTACTATGCTAGAGTAAAACAGGGAGGTCACTGCAGTAAACCAGGTCATAAGGGAAAGCCTCTTTTAAAAACGGCAACTAAGCTAAGATCTCTAAATTGAGGTAAGGGTTATCCAGGAAATTGAAAGTGAAAAGAAGTCCAGAGACGTCAAAGACGTGCAAAATCCTTAAGCTGAGAAAATTCTTGATGTAATTAAGGAGCTGAAAGGAAGCCAGTATGACAGTAGGTGCAATGAAGAGCAAAGTAGAAGAAGCCATGATGGATATAAGCATGAGGCAGGCGAGGGAGACAGAGAGGGGGAGAAAGGAAGGGAAGGAGGAAGGAAGATGGAATAAAGAAAGAAAGGAGGGGGAAGGAAGAGAAGAAAGAGAAAGGGAAAGAAGGGAGAGAGGGAAGGGAAGGTTAGGGTTAGGAAGGGAAGGGAAGGGAAAGGAGGAAAGCAAGGTCTAGTAAATTTTATTCAAAGTAGAATGTGAGTTCTTAGAAAGTTTTAAAGTAAGGAAGCATCGGACTTCCCATCGGACTCAACCTGGCGCAGTGGTTGAGAGTCCACCTGCCGATGCAGGGGACACGGGTTCGTGCCCCGATCCGGGAAGATCCCACATGCCGCGGAGCGGCTGGGCCCGTGAGCCATGGCCGCTGAGCCTCCGCATCCGGAGCCTGTGCTCCGCAACGGGAAAGGCCACAACAGTGAGAGGCCCACGTACCGCAAAACAAAAAGTGGATCCATTTAGAGAGAAACACACTCCACAGACAGAGTGTGGGCCATCTCAGAAGTCAAGAACAACACCTGGGTATGGGGTTGTCAGTTTTTATAGGGGTGGGTAATTTCATAGGCTAATGAGTGGGAGGGGCATCCCAGCTATTTTGGGGAAGGGGTGGGGATTTCCAGGAATTGGACCAGCGCCCAGTTCCTCATGGTCAGCCTTGGAACTGTCACGGCACCTGTGGGTGTGTCATTTAGCACGCTGATGTGCTACCATGAGGCTCAAAGTCTAGTGGAAGTCGACTCACCTGCCATCTTGGACCTATTTGGTTCTAATCAGTTTATGTCATGTCCTCAGGCTATGTCATTCTTTTAAAGGTCGTGCCCTGGCCCTCCCCTCCTGTTTCAGTTGCAGCACGTGGGATCTAGTTCCCTGACCAGGGATCAAACCCAGGCCCCCTGCATTGGGAGCAGAGTCTTAGTCACTGGACCACCAGGGAAGTCCCAATCCAGGGGAAAAGACTTTAGCAGAACCTTATCCAGGGCCACACAGTGTGGGTGGCTTATAGCACCAATGCATGTACCCACCAGCTCTGGGGGCTAGGGGGTGCAAGCTAGATTGGAATCTGAGGTGGCCAAGATCACCTCAAGAAAGTGCAGGCTAAACAGTGGCTGCCAAACTATCTTCTGGGGAGTCTTCAATGCTGCTCCCAGAGCTAAGGTTTCTGTGGTAGAGAGCTGTGTTCAGTAGCCTATGATAAACCGTAATGGAAACGAATATTTTTTAAAAAGAGAGAATCTGTATATATATATACATATATATTATATATTATATATATGTATACATACACACACACATGTGTGTACGTATGTATACATAAATACATGAATCACTTTGCTGTACAGCAGTAATTAACACATTGTAAATCAACTGTACTTCAATAAAAAATAAAGTTTCTGTGGTGAAATAAACTTAAGAAATGGTGAATAAATACCCCTCCTAAAGAGTCATATAACACACTAATAAAGACTCAGAGAAACTAAGTAAAATAGGAAACTGACTGGGACACATTTATTCTCAATCCTGTTTGTACATCAGAAGCATCAGAAGAGTTTATTTTTAACCAATACAACAACTGGGTCCCATTCCATACCTGAAGAGATGAGAGACGGTCCAATATCAAGACCCAAAAAAGAGGCAAAAAATTGTTAATCAGATGGGTAGAAGAGAAAAAATTTTTTCTCAGTAAAAGATGCAAGTTCTTTGCAATAATAAGTAGTGATGGAAACCAGAATGTGTCACCCCAAAATATGCCTCTTTGACATAAAAAAGCATTTTGAGCTGAAGGCAATTAAGAGGCAGCAAACCCAGAAACCCTAAAGGCAGTGCCAGAAGAATCTGCAAACACACACTGACCCATTTGTTTCCACACATATATTTACCCTCACACAGTCTGCCACCCTTGGAAGACTAAAACTGCTTACCTTTGTCCTATCACCTCTCCACAATTTTATTGTTCTTTGTCGAAGATACTATGAAAGCCAGAATTCTAAGCCAAGGCTTTGAGTTAGTATTCATTTTATGTTTCTCTTGCATGATGTGTTGCATGTGTTAAACTTTTTCTTGTTAATCTTTCTTTTCGTTAGAGTCCCAGCTGAAAACCTCAGATAAGTAGAGGCAAAGTTTTACCTCCGTTATAGTAGTATAAAGGGAGGCTTATAAAGGCCTTTTCTTTGAGAAAAGAGGAAAAGGTTTGGAATCACTGCCATCAGAAGATGTAAAAAGGAATTTAAGATCAAGCGTGTTTACCAAGCAGCCCAAAGAGCCTACTTGAAGTCAGAGAACAAGTCTTTGTAGCAGAACCAACCAACCTGGTTCAACAGCCCAGAAAGAAAAGTGGAGGAAAGGTACTGATGAGTTTCCCAAGGACTGGAAATTAACAATGTAGGTATTGTCGACAAAAAACTAATCGATCTAAGAAGGAAATGGAAAATTTTATTCGAGCCAAATTTGAGGATTATAATCCAGGAAGAGTATCTGAGAAAGCTCTGAGAACCGTTCCACCCGTTAGAAGTCAAGGCACAGTTATACAAGTTTTTTGAGATGGGGGCTGTACATCAAATGACATATTAATGACAGTTTACATCGGATCTAAGCACCATGTGACCCCTTATCAAGAAGGAAAGTTACCTTTTAGGGAGCTGTCTTGTTGATGCTAGGAGAATGCTGCTCTTTACGGTTGAGCAGGTATTTCTGCTGATGGGGGAGGTTTGGTCGATGCATAGTGCAGACACAAGATGCACAGTGCAGGGACAGAGACCAATGGGCAGAGAAAATTTTTTATGTTTAAATTTTTCTTGCCTTGCCATAAAATATGAATATTATTTCACAGTACTGAAGGAAGTCCTGATGGGCAAGTGTGTTAAATTCCGAAGTTCCACAAACTGGGTGGCTTAAAACAACAGAAATTTACTGTCTCACAGTTCTGGAGGCCAGAAGTCTGAAATGAGGGTGTTTGCAGGGCCATGATCCCTCAGAAGCTTCTAGGGGAGGATTCTTCTTTGCCTTTTCCAGCATCTAGCAGCCCCAGGTGTTCATTGGCTTGTGACAGCATAACTCCAGCCTCTCCCATAGCCACCTTCCCTCTGTGTCCTCACATGGCATTTCCGTGTATGTAAGTGTATGTGTGCGTGTACAAAATTCCCTCTAAGGATACTAGTGATATTGGATTAGGTGCCACCCTAATGGCCTCATGTTAATTTCCAGATAAGGTCACATTCACAGCTAGGACTTCAACATATCTTTTTCTCTGGAGGACAGAATTCATTCAACTCATAACAGCAAGTATCTTGGAGAGTTAAGGAGAACTCAGCAGAAATCACTGAATAAGGGGGATTGCTCCAGCTGCAAAGGAAGACAAGCCAGGATGGGCTGGGACACAGGAAGGGGAGGATGGATTAGGGAGGGTGCTGGAAGTTTTGTAAGAAGCTGCCAGAAAGCCTATTGCAAGTCTGGGAGGAGACACATTAAAATGTTAGTGGTGGTGGGATTATCAATAACTTTAATTTTCTTCACGCTTTTTATATGTTCCAAAGTTTCTATAATAAGTACGTGATTTTATAACCAGAGAGAAACATTCATTATTTTTCAAATAACTCTCCAGTAACAGTCACAAACCTCTGAGTGCATACAATCTAGCGCAGGAAGGTAAAGAGAGGAGGACACTCACACAGGGTAAAAACATGTAACAAAATAAAAACCTGAAACAAAGGTGCTGGAGACCACAATCAGCATTCAGTAAGTGCTCACGTAGGTGAGCGTAAGGTGAACGTAGAGTAGAGAAGACCAGGACTTTCCTCTCAGATCTAGATTCAATCCCAACATGCCCATTTGACAGCTGGGCAGGACTGAGCAAATTAATCTCAAGGTTTGTTTTTTCTTTTGTAAAGACAGGATTTTAATTTCCATCTCTGTTGCAAGAGTCACGTGGGAGCATTATGTGAAGAGGTTAGCACAGTGTAAATACCTAACAAGGGTTTCCCAACATTTTCAGGATGACATTAATAACCTTGTGCACACAGTATACGACTCTGACGAATGGAGAGCATAATGAACCCTTGAGGGCAGAGACACGGTCAGGTGAAGAGTAACAACACGGGCAGAGCAGGGGAAGACTGCCTCAATTTTCCAATCCAAGAAGTGAGGAATATCAGTACTTACTGGAAAGAAGAGGAATTACATGACTAAACAGAAAGGGATTCTATAAAGCTGTCAAGTTTCAGGAAGAAAAGTGAGACAGGCCTGTACTGTGAGGTGTCCAAGCTATGCGCCTAGAGCACCGGTTAGGATACGAGACAGGCCTGTACTGTGAGATGTCCAAGCTATGTGCCTATAGCACCGGTTAGGATACTTCAGCCTGCAAGTGACCAGAAGGCAGACTGCCTTATACAATAAAGAAGCAATAATCTCATGTAACAAGAAATTCAGGATTAGGGAAATTCCGACCATTTCACGATGCCAACAAAGACCACATTTCTCCTCCTTTTCCCACGGTTACTGTGCTCCTCTCAGTTCCAGTATACCTACTAACATCAGGAGAGGGGCTGTGTCTTCCCAAACATCTCTTTCTAAAAAGCTAAAAAACTTTCCTCAGAGGCACCCTGGAGAATTTCTCACCCCGCCTCGCTGGCCAGAAGCCCCTCCTATGGGCCTGTGTCTCCCTGAAGCATGTGGAGGGCACATCCTGAGCAGTTCATTTAGGAAGAACCAGAGGAGAAGGAGAAAAAGTGGGCCAAGTGGCTACTGGAAAGATACCCAGCAGGGTCTCCCACATCTGTCTACGCACATGATGTCCAGGGGGGCTGAACAAAATGTGAAGTTGGAATCTGAATGGACAGAATTGAGGGACCACCCAGGATGGATTTATATACGAAGTCAAAGATGAGGGCCAAGGGATGTATGTCCCTGGGCTGGGGCACAAGGCGAAGTTTCTTGGGCAGGAGAGGAACAGCCTCATTTCCCACCAGTTGCTGGTGGGATGACTAAAGATGCTAATGGACTCAACCAAAAAAACGGCCGGAGACGTGAGATAGAAGGACAGGAAAAAGTGTATAGGTGTTCTCCATCCACAGCACTGTAGAATGAGATTTCCCCAGCCCTGTGATCTAGGAAAACTCCCACCCGGTGAAGAGCTGGCTCTAGCTTGGTAGGCCTCACAGAGATGCCTGTCAGGGGCCGATAGCCAGCAGAACTCCAACAAAGAGCCCAGATTCCCATGCGGGGGGACATTGTTGAACTACCAGTAATCCCCATGATGTCCTCCCGACACAACCCCACAGCAACCTCCAGGCTACCTTGGTGCTCAACTTCCCAGTAATGTTTCCCTGAAGTGAAAACGTTTTTTCCCAAAACGCAGGGTAAGTGCTGAAATCTCTCCACAAAGTCTGTGGTCCTCTGAGGATTCCTCCATCCAGCAAAGTAGCTCCACGCTGTAGAAAATAGTGGCCAAGAACTGGCTGATTCTCCATTTTTCACATATCTCCCTTCCTGGGAGAAGACAAGTTTGGGATAAGCAGTGTCCTCAGCTAGATTTACAGCCACTGCAGAGAAAATGAGAGCTGAGATCAATAATGCAAGAGCTTACCACCAACCCTCCTCCAGAAACACCCGTCTGTTCCAGCTTCAGTACCATCCTTCTTCTCCTATCACATATTGTTAGGGATAAGACGACTCATTGTCCTTCAACTGACCATCAGCTGGGCCTAACAGGCCATAGTGTGTGTTAGTGACCTGAAATCTTCATTCCCCTTCTGCTTTCAAAGGCTATGATCTAGAAAATGGGGAGCCCATTATTTCATGGCCCCAAGTCTTCACCACCAGCATAAAATTTGGAGAAACAGTAACAAATACTGCCTTGTTGAATGAGGACCAGAACCAAAGCTGTCGACTGGCTGGTTCTTTGTACAGGAACACACAGATATCATCATTAACAAGGTATCTCTTTACTGATTCCAGCTGTTCACTGGGCATCTCTGCAAGCCCCCAGCAGGTAACTCAAAACCGAATTCAGAGCATCCCAAGTCCCCTTCCACTCTCTTGGGACTAATCCTCCCTCACATGCAGACTTCGTTCTCTATGTTCTCTAAGGTCTAATAATATTAGCTCCACCCAAACACTCACACTTGGAAATCTTAAGGTTATTTGATTCTTCTTTCCCTCTGACCCTCGGTGGCTAATTAATCACCAAGTCCTATCAATTCTACCTCTCAAATATCACTCAGGTTCTTTTCTCCCTCTCCTTTCCCATAGCCATTGTCTTCACTCGGACCTTCTGCATCTTTCACTGTAACCGTGTCTATAACTTCCTCCCTGGCCTGCCTCCAACTTCTCTTCCCTCCCAGACTCTCCATGTCTCCTTAGTTTGCTGAGCGTTGTTTGTGTTTTCTTTTCTTTTGTTTTTTTAATCACAAATGAATGTTAGATTTTTTTTTATTTAGCATCATCATTGGAGTATAATTGCTTTACAATGTTGTGTTAGTTTCTGCTGTATAACAAAGTGAATCAGCTGTACGTATACATATATCCCCATATCCCCTCCCTCTTGCGTCTCCCTCCCACCCCTCTAGGTGGTCACAAAGCACTGAGCTGATCTCCCTGTGCTATGCGGCTGCTTCCCACTAGCTATCTATTTTAAGTTTGGTAGAGTATATATGTCAGTGCCACTCCCTCACTTCGTCCCAGCTTACCCTTCCCCCTCCCCGTGTCCTCAAGTCCTGAATGTTAGATTTTGACAAGGACTTTTTCTGCAACTACTAGGTGATCAAATAGTTTTCCTTTTTTTAATTTGCTAACGTCGTGAATTATATTGACTTTCAAATGTTAAACCAAACCTGCTTTTCTACAATAAACCCCATTTGGTTGTGATGTATTATACATTGTTGAATTCAATTTGCTAAAATTTTCTTTAGAATTTTTCTATGTTCATGAGGGACACTGATCTATAGTTCTCTTATAATGTCTTTGTCTGATTTTACTATCATGGTAATGCAGGCCTCATAGAACAAACTGGGAATAGTCTCTTCAATTTTTTGTTAAGAGTTTACGTAGAATAAATATTTTTTAAATGTTTGGTGAAATCACCAGTGAAGCCATTTGGAAAGGTTTCTAACACGAATTTCTTTAATAGAAATAAGGTTATTCCAGTTATCTATTTTTTCTTGAGTCAGCTTTAGTCATTTGAGTCTTTTACAGACTTTGTCCATTTCATGTATGTTGTCTGATATATCAGCATAAAGTTGTTTGTAATATTCCCTTATTATCCTTTTAATATCTATAGAATTTGTAGTGATGATGCCTCTCTCATTCTTAATACTAGTGATGTATCTGGTCATTCTGCTTAAAGTATATCAATAAAATTGATATTCTCAAAGAAAGAGCTTTTGGTTCCACTAACATTTCTTTTGTTTTCTGTATTCTATTGCAATGACTTATGCTCTGATTTTTATTATTTCCATTCTTCTGTTTTGGGGGGCTTTATTTGCTCTTCTTTTTCTAGTGTCTTAAGGTAGATACTGATGTCACTGATTTAAGAACTTTCTTCTTTTATAATATAGGTGATTAGTGCTATACATTTCCCTGCAAGTGTCGCTTTAGCTGTATCCCACAAATTCTGAAATGCTGTGTTTTCCTTTTCATTCAGTTCAAAGTATCAATACTCTCTACTTCCCTTTTGATTTCACCTTTAATTCACGGGTTATTGAGAAGTGTGTCATTTAGTTTCCTAACATTTGGGGAACTTCCAAGGATTTTTTTTTTAACTGATTTCTAACTCAAATGCATTGGGGTCAGAGAACACACTTTGTATGGCTTGAATCCTTTTGAATACTGAGATATGTCTCATGGCCCACCCTGTTCTACCTTAGAAAATGTTCCATGTACACTCAAAAAGAATATGTACTCTGTCTTTGTTTGGGGCAGTATTCTATAAATAACAGGGTGGTCAAGTTGGTTGACACTGCTATTCAAATTGATAGTGTTATTCAGTCTACTATATCCTTACTGATTTTCTGCCTACTTGTTCTAAAAATTATTTTTAAAAGGTACTGAAAATTCCAGCTATAACTGTGGATTTGCCTGTTTCTCCTGGCAGCTCTATTAATTTTTGCTTAATATATTTTGAAGCTCTGTTATTAGGTGTATAAATGTTTAGAACTGTTATGTCCTCCTGATAAAATGACTCCTTAATCATTAGGACTTGACTTTATCTCTGGTAATAGTCCTTGCTCTGAAATCTTCTTGATATTAATATAACCATTCCAGATTTCCTTTGACTAACGTTAGCATGGTATAGCTTTTCCCATTGTTTTACTTTTAACATATACGGGTCTTTATATTTAATGTGCGTTCCTTGCAGCATATAGTTGGGTCTTGCTTTTTTTATCCAATCCAACCCGTCTGTCCCTTCTGATTAGGACCATTTATACTTAATGTGATTATTAATATGATTAGGTTTGTGTCTATCATCTTGTTATGTTTTCTATTTGTCCTATTCTTTTTTCCTCTTTTTTGCCTTCTTTCTGATTAACCACGTATTCTTATAATTCCACTTCATCTCCTTTGTTGACTTATTAGTTACAACTCTTTTATCTTAGTGATTGCCGTAAGGTTTATAACATACACCTTTAACTTAACAGCCTACCTTCAAGACATAGTATACCACTTCACATATAAGAATTGTATAATAGGGACTTACCTGGTGGTCCAGTGGTTAAGAATCCACCTTCCAAGGCAGGGAACATGGGTTCGATCCCTGGTCGGGGAACTAAGATCCCACGTGCCGCAGGGCAACTAAGCCCGTGCACTGCAACTACTGAGCCCACGTGCTCTAGAGCCCACGCACCACAACTAGAGAGAAGCCTGTTCGCCTCAATGAAGCGCCTGCATGCCGCAATGAAAGATCCTGCATGCTGCACTAAGACCCAACGCAGCCAAATAAATAAATACTTTAAAAAAAAGAACTATATAATGGTATACTTCTAGTTCTCCCCTCCCAACATTCATGCTATTATTGTTGTGCATTTTACTTGTAAATATGTTATAAACTCTATAATATGTTATTTTCTGTCTGTTTAAACAGTCAATTACTGTATTTGTCAGGGTTCTCCAGAGAAATAGAACCAATAAGATGTACGTGTATAGAGAAAGAGATTATAAGGAATTGTTTCATGTGATTATGGTGACTGGCAAGTCCAAATCCACTGTGTGTGACAGAAGGCTTACAACCCAGGGAAAAGTGATGTTCCAGTTCAAAGGCCACACGGCAGGAAGAACCAAAGCTGCAGATGGAGTCCTAGGGCAGTCTGCTGTAGAATTCCCTCTTGTTCAGGGTGAAAAGTCAGCCTTTTGTTCTATTCAGGGCTGCAACTGATTAGATTAGGCCCACCAGCATTATGGAGAGCAATCTGCTTTACTCAAGTTTCCCGGGGTTTTTTTTTTTGTTTTTTTTTTTTTTTCGGTACGCGGGCCTCTCACTGTTGTGGCCTCTCTCATTGCGGAGGACAGGCTCTGGACGTGCAGGCTCAGCAGCCATGGCTCACGGGCCCAGCCGCTCCATGGCATGTGGGATCCTCCCGGACCGGGCATGAACCCGTGTCCCCTGCATCAGCAGGCGGACTCTCAACTACTGCGCCACCAGGGAAGCCCAAGTTTCCTGATTTAAATATTAATCTCATCCCAAAACACTCTTACTGTCACAGCAACACCTGAAATAATGTTTGACCAAAAATCTGGGCACCTTGTGCCCCAGTCAAATTAACACATAAATTAGCCATCCCTATTACCTTTTAATGAGATTTAAGTAATGACAGAAGTACATATTTCTTTATGTCATTACCATTTCAGAAGATGTTTTACTCCTTTGTGTAGATCTGACTTCCATCTGGTATCATTTTCCTTCTGCTTAAAGGACTTCCTCTAACATTTCTTGCAGTGTTGGTGTGATAAACTCTTTCTGTTTTTGGATATCAGCAAACATCTTTGTTTCACTTTGTTTTTGAAGGGTATTTTTGCCAGGAATAAAAGTCTGGGTTAACAGTTATTTTCTTTCATTCCTTTAAAGATTTTGTTCACTTGCATTGCTTTCAATGAGTAATGTGATGTCATCTTTATCTTTGTTCCACTGTAACATGTCCTTTTCAACTTGTTGCATTTAAAATTTTCTCTTTATCACTGGTTTTGGTGTAGTTTTCATTATGCTTAGGATTTGCTGAGTTTCTTGGATCTGTGTACTTATAATTTTCATCAACTTTGGGAAGTTGTCGGTCATTATTTCTTCAAATGTTTTTTCTGTCTCATCCCCATCCCACTCCTCTCCCTGAGGGGTACCAATGACCAGACACAAGGCTGCATGAAAATGACCCACAGCTCACTGATGCTATTTTCATTTTTTAAGTTTTTTTCTCTGTGTGTTTCATTTTGCATAGTTTCCACTGCTCTATCTTTTCAAGTTCACTAAGCTTTTCTTCTGCAATGACCCATTAACCCCAACCAGCTTGTTCTTCATCTCAGTTACAGTAGTTTTCATCTCTAGAAGTCTGTCTGGGATTTTTTTATATCTTCCATGTCCCCATATGCCTCTTTACAAAATAGTTACAATAACTGTATTAATGTTCTTCTATGCTTATTCTAGCGTCCAGGTAAATCCTGGATCAGTTTCAATTGATTATTCTCCTCATCATGGGTCATGTTTTCCTATCTTTTTGCCTGCCTAGTAATCTTTGATTGGATGCCAGGCATTGTGGTTTTACATCGTTGGGTACTCATTTTTTAAAATTCCTATCCATCTTGTTGAGCTTTGTTCTGGGATGCAGTTACTTGGAAATAATTTCATCCTTTTGAGTCTTATTTCATGATTTGTAAAGTGGGTCCAAAGCAGTGCTCAGTGTAGGGTTAATTATTCCCCACTAATGAGGCAAGATTTTCCTGAGTACTCTACCCAGTGCCCCACGAATTAAGAGTTTTCCAGAGGCTGGTAGGAACAGGCATTGTTCCTGGCCCTGTGTGAGCACCAGGAACTGTTTCTTCTACTCATTTTGGAAATTTCCTCCCTCAAACTCGGTTAGTTCTTCACAAGCATGTACTGATCAGCATTCTGCTGAATGTTCACGGCGTGTCTCTGTAGATCACCTGGGTTCTCTCTCTGTCCAGCTCTCTCCTCTCCAGTACTCTGTCCAGTGCTCTGTAAACGCTCACTGCTTTGTTCTCCCTGGACTCTCAGCTCCACTCCTCAACTCAGGAAGTCCACCTGGCTCCACCTCTGTTACCCTCTCTGAGGTGGGCTGGAAACTCTCTCAAGGCTGTAGGCTGGGGCCATCATAGAGCGCACCTCATTTGTTTCACATTTCCCATGGATCACTGGCCTTCACTGCCTGAGGTCCAGTGTTTTAAAAACTGCTGCTTTATGTATTGTCTGTTTGGGGTTTTTTTTTTTTTTGGTCAACTAAGTTTCAGGAGTAAATCCAGTCCCTGTTACTGCATTTTAGCTGGAAGCAGACATCCACAACATGATTCTTAATCAGGTACATGCACATGAGAATTGAGTGCATACCTTTACATCACGTACATGCCTTGGTACTTCCCTGGAGATCTAATAAGTTTATCTTCAGTCTTTCCTACACTCATCTTCTCAAACTCAATTCCTGCCTTTCCCCATATGCACCTTATGGTTGAGTCACATCAGATACCCTCTCCTCCATTTTCTCCACACCTTAGCTCATGCTGCTGCCTCTGCCTGGAACAGGATTCCCTCATTTTCCACTTGGCAAACTGCTACTCATCCTTCAAATTCCCAAACAACTGTCATCACCTCTGCTGTGAAAACTTTCCCACTTCACCCCCAACAGAGGTCTTCCTCTAGTTTTGCAGTATTTTATTCATACCACTGATAAACACTGGATCCCACTGTATTAGAGTAAAGTGATATGTGTCTGTCTCTCCAATTTGTAAGCAAATAGGTCTTTTTCTTTTTGTATCACAAGTACCCTGTAACACACAGTATGTGTTAAATGGATGTTTCTTGAATGAAGCATATATCCATTTATTCCTAAGTACTTATTACCATTTTCCTGACCCTCCTGTCAGCTGCATGCTCTGTTTTCTCTTTCCTTTCCAGACTTCTCTCGTTCATTCTCTGAGCTCCAACTCCCAGAAATTCTGCTCACCTTGAAATCGCTTCAGCATTTCCTTCATCATTGGTAGCCGGCACACAGTCTTCACCTTTAGAACTTCAAAGGAATAGTTCACATCCTGGTTCTCACACCTAAGAGAAGTGCAGAAGGCTGCTCTGCTTAGGAGACAACTAGGACACCCAAGACCCCCAACTCCCAACTGAAGGTTCAAATCCCAGAGCTCAGACTACTTCTCTCCCATTCCTCCCGGCCAAAGTGAACAGTGGAACTCCTCCCCGACAACCCCCTCACGTCAACGTCCACACTCATCTATGGAGCCCAGGCCTCATTTCCCCTCTGCTTGGCCTGTATCTTTACCATTCTACTCAAGCCCCCATAAGAAGGCAAGAGTTTGTACCTGGTCAACACATCTTTTGGATTCTGTGAAGAGAAGAAAGAAATAAGTTATGTACCTTCCCCTAGAGATCTGTTACTCAACTTTGTGAGCAGGTATTTTTCTGTCAGTTGCTTTTATTAACGTCACATATGCTCTCATGCTGTCAAACCCAATGCATTAACACAATGTAGTCTTTGTTTCATGTGACCCCTCTGAACTATTTAACAGTGTTGACCAGTCCTTTCCTTGAAGCCCTCCTCTTTCTCCTTTGGCACTATGACATTAGCTCTCTCCTGGCTTTTTGCTTACTTCTCCGTCTACACTCTTTCAATCACAGACAAATGTTAGTGAGGATGTGGTGGGAATATAAAATGGAAAAAGGTAGTTTGGAAAAAGGCAGTTTCTTTAAAATTTGAATATAAATATAGCATACAGCCTAGCACAGAGAGAAATGAAAACATATGTCCACACAAAGAATGACAGACAAATGTTAAAGCAGCATCCTTCCTAATAACCAAAAGGTGGTAACAACCCAAATGTCCATCAACTGGTGAACAGATATAAAAATGTGGTATATTCTACAATGGAATACTATTCTGGAATTTAAAAAAGGGATGCAAATACAATACTAATATATGCTACAACATGAATGAACCTCAAAAACATTACACTAAATGAAAGAATCCATATACAAAAGAAATGTGTTATTTCAAAGATTCTGCTATAGTATATCTTTAGATACGAAATTGGAACTTCACTGCTCAGTCAAATTGTAAAAGTTCTAGACAGTTCTTGGAATCTAAGTATCTCATATTACCTGAGCTCATCAGGCCTAAATTTCACATTAATTTCCTTTGAAAGATGAATCTTTGACTCTTTAATTGTATAATAAAAATAATAACACAACAGCAACACAGAGAAAACATGTCTTCTACTAAACCCACTCACCAGGAAGGACATTCAGTTCTAAAGGCAAGAGGGAGTTCAGTTAGGGAGGTTAAATAACAACTCTGTAAAGACAAAGACTACGCCCTTCCCTGCCGGTCTCACCTGGAGCAGCTCCAGGGTGGAGCTCTGGCTCTTCTCCCCCACCTCGAAGATGAGCTTCTTCATGGAAGTGATCATTTGATTGAGCCTTAATGTGTTCTCATTCTGTTTCTTCTTTGTCTCTTCTTCTTCTTGGCTCAGTCTCTTAATAAACAATTGCTCTTCTTCAGCCAGGAAGACGTGCAGCTTTGCAAACTCCGCACTGACTCTCGTTCGCTTATTCTTCATCTTCTCCTATAGCCACAGGGGACTGGCTCAGTCCTTGTTCTGCCTGGTCCTTCCTCCTAAATTCCTTGCACATGACTCCCTAACAACCCATGATCCTTCCATCCAAATCACCTCCTCCAGAAAAGTTCCTGCCCAGCCCCTACAAATTTCCCCTACTCCTTTCTTTACACGTACTTGATATCTTTGTACTAGTCTATATAGTATTAGTTCATTCTTTGTAACATCTGAGTCTCTGCTATGATAGCAATGCCTTGTCTGTACACTTTTTAAACTAAAATGCACTTGCACATCTATTATTTAATTTAGCCCTCAGATCACCTACCATTTAGTTAAATCTTAGATGTGCATATGTGCGCCCACATCATGCCTCCCAACTAGACTAGCATCTCTGGAAGCAAAGTCCATTTGCTTTCCACAGTGCCACAGACCCAAATCAACTCCAGTGTAGGAAGCCAACCTAGGGAGAAAGCAGGAAGGAAAGGAACACTACCCTTGAGATATGAGGATGAAGTGTGTGGAACTCATGTTGCCCAAAGACACAGGTCAGTAGAGGTAGATTCTTCCTGTTCTATCACCTTATGTGAAAGGGGCCTAACAACTGGTGAGATCCACAAGCTCTTCCCAGCGAAAGCCCTTGAGCGGCCTCAGACTGAAAGGACTCAAGGGCAAGAAATACCCAACCAACTTCTGCTCTTACCTTCCACTCTGCAGCATTCTTCACTTCCATGTCCTGTAAATGCATGGCTTTATTCATCTTGGCTGTCAGACTATGTTGAGTCTTCAGAAGTTTTTCCTGTCAGCAGAAACACGCATAAGTAAGAAATCATCTCTCCCAGCATCTTCCTTGTTCAAGAGCTAAAAGTCACCTAATTCAAACAGGGGATGAGATTGAGAAAATGCTGAAGATGACTTCAGGCTAATGCATAAGAATTATTCTGGGGCTTCCCTGGTGGCGCTGTGGTTGAGAGTCCGCCTGCCAATGCAGGGGACACGGGTTCGTGCCCCGGTCCGGGAAGATCCCACGTGCCGCGGAGCGGCTGGGCCCGTGAGCCATGGCCGCTGAGCCTGTGTTCCACAACGGGAGAGGCCACAACAGTGAGAGGCCCGCATACCGCAAAAAAAAAAAATTATTCTGGTCTAAAATCATCATAATGCAATATAGAGTATGCCTATTAAGTAGACAAAAATTTAAAATTGTTAGAAGATTAATAAATGCCTAGTCCTGGCAAGGGAAAAGGCCTCTGGCACCATAATAGTAGGAGAGTGAAGGTCCCATCTTTTTGAAGAGCAACTGGCAGGATTTAACAAAATTTAAAATATGCATAATCCTATTTTTAATAATATCCAACAAAATATTAGCAAAAATAATATGTATAGGAATGTTAACTGCAGCATTATTCACTACCCATCAATGTGAAATCATTAAATTATGGTATATTGATACTCTACATCAATTTCAGGTAGCTCTCTATAGGATTCCGTTTTGAAAAGAACAAATATACATGTGTCTGTGCAAGTGTGTGCGTTTGTATCTGAACAGAGGGAAAATCCGGAAGGGTATATACCTAAGTATTATTAACACTGCTTATCTCTGGGGAATAGGAATGGCTTGAAAGTTGGAGGGGGAGGACTAGAAATTTTATAAATCTCTGTTTTGTTTGAATTTCTACAAGAGGCACATATTCTTTTTATAATTAGAAAAAAACAAATAAGCTATTAAAAAAATTGAGTCGATCAGAAGGAACACAGTGGGCTGCAGAGGGGAAGCACCTAACAGCAGAATCTCAGGGATGACCTTAGAGACAGAGGCAGACAGGTTAGAGACACGCACAAATCACTGTCAAATCTGATGTACGTGTGAAGGCTGTCATGAGATAAATAGCTCCTTTGAATGTGACCAAGATTTTTTTTTAAGCTTTCAAATATATTTGAAATAGAACTTTTCAGTTTTTAAAAGCCCTTAACAATTTTCAGTATGTATGAATTTTCCTGTTTCATTACCTAAGCTTTTTTGTATCTTGCCACAGTTGGGCTCTTATAGTGGTCCCCTGAGTAAACTTGGTAACGTTCTGGGAGCAGAAAACTTCTTCGCTGCAATAACAGAAACTGCCACGAGGTGGCAGGACGGCAACACAAGCATTTCAAAGCTGGGTAGACGTACCAAAGTTTAAAAATCACTCTCTTCATTTAACATCAGACAATTGTGTGTATATAAAACTATAATAAAAGAGCAGACATTTATAGAATGAAGACATTTGCTGACTTGTGATCATGTAGTTCAAACGACATGAAACTTCAAATCAGGTCTGAGTTTCAGTCTAGACCTTCACAAACTAGCTATGGATCTGTGGTCAAGTCAGCCTCACACATTTTTCTGGGCCACAGCTGCCTTACCTAGAAGATGAAGACAACGAGACTAGATGGTCTTTTCTTAAACACCGTCCCAGCACTTAGGTTCTGTGAATTTCAGTCACTGTAACCTCTGTATCCAACCCAAGCAGGGAGGTCTACCTCCAAAATACATATCAAATCTGCCTATCTGCCGTCCCCAGCCACCTCCTAGTTCAAGTCACCTCCTGTCTACACAACTACAATAACCTCATGACTGGGCTCCCTACTTCCAATCTTGTCCTTCTCTTATCCAGCGTCCACAGAGAAGCCAGCATAATCTTCTAAAGAGCAGTCAGATCATGTCAGTCCCCTGCTTAAGATTCTCCATTGGTCTCCCACATCACTAAGAAAATTCAAACACCTTGCGGTCCGACATAACCCCCCTCTTGTCTGCATCTCCCAGCTCGTGCTGCTTTCCCCCTTGCTCGTGATGCTCCAGGTGTATAGGTCTTTCAGTTCCATTGATAGGTCCTGCCCTTCCCAGCCCAGCCTCAGGGTCTTTGAATTTGCTATCCGCTGCCTGGGATGTTCTTCCCACAGTTCCTCGGATGGCTGATTCCTCATCCATCACGTCTCAACTGAAATGTCATCTCCTCAGAGGAGGCTACCGCGTTCCCTTATTAAAGCCCGTGTCGCTTCTCTGGCACGGCACTATCTTTCTTTCACAGCACATATCATCATCTGTGGTCATTTACTGGTCCATGGTGTGCCTCTCACCCCACCCCAGCCAGACTGTAAGCCCCACGGTCTTTTCACCACTGTTTGCCCAGTGCTGAGTCTGGTACTGTAGTACAGCAAGTGACACAGAACAGGTGGTTCAAGAAATACTGAGTATCTGTTAAATGAGTTAATAGCAATGAAGGGATTAGCTCCCAGAGTCACAGACTAAACATTGGCTTGAGGGAAAGAAGAGCTGGAAGCCTTTTCCAGGCAGAGTTTGCTCCCTGAAGCTTCGGACGCTATTCTCTTTCTCTGTTCTCTTTTTCTCTCCAACCACCAATGACTCCATTAAAGACAACTTCTGCTCTGAAAGATTTTTTGGAGATTCCCTCTGTGAAGATACTAAGATGTAGGTCTATCCTATCCTCTATCCTATCTGTACACTAGAATCTCCTAGTGAATTTTTAAACAATGCTGATGCCAAGGGCCCCGCCAACTGAATCAAACACTCCCGGGGCTTGGGGGGTAGTATTGCTTAAAAGTGCTTCCAGGTGTATCCTGAGCCACTGGTGGGGCCCAAGAGGGTGAGCAGAGTGGACTAGGAATTCATCAAAGCAGGTTTCCTGGATGCAGTACTCAGGGGCTCAGATCCTCAGAGAAAGCATCTAGCACACTGTCTGCAGGGCTCAGGTGTGGGCATAGGATGGGGGATATTTTCCATGGATTTAGGGAACTCCAAACTTTTAAGTCACAGTGCACCCACCTGAGTATGTGCTTGCAATAGGATGGTGGAAACAGAACTGCTCCACCCAAGAGCAACTTAATGTTTTTCTAGCTAACCTGGGGTGGTGTGGAGGTGGATAAACTGAGCAGCGATGAAGCAGAGAAGGGTGCAGAAAAGGACAGACAACGGGCAACTGTGCCTAATGACCTGACTCCGGAACACCTGGCCAGTCAACTCCATGACATTCAACCCTCCCCAGCGTTACTCTCACCCACGCCCTACCTGTTGGCCCGTTTTAGTTTAATCCTGAAATCCCACCTCTTCCGATTAGTCTTCTCAGTTAGATTAGCTGTAGCAGAGTGACAAGTGACATGGACTATAGGAATTAGAGGAACTCAGTCCAAGCTTAGCCACTTCCTAGCTTCTGTGACCTTGGGTAAGTGGTCTCACATCTCTGGGCCTCAGCTGCCTCATCTACAAAATGGGGAAAACAGAATCCATCCAACAGGGCTGCTATGGAAATTTAAAAATTACTATACGAAAAATGCTTAGAACCGTCAGTGATGCATAAGTAATCAACACCTGATAGCTATCATTAATATTATGGTTATTGCCAAAGGTTGAAGCTTTAAGGGTTATTTTCCCCTTTCATACCTAACCACTTACACTTGCCTCAGCCCTCCCCCATAAATTTTTTTTGGGGGGTCTTTTGGGGGTTTTTTTTCGGCCGTGCAGTGTAGCATGAGGGATCTTAGTTCCCAGACCAGAGATCGAACCCACGCCCCCTTCAGTGGAAGCGCGGAGTCTTAACCACTAGATGGCCAGGGAAGTCCCATATATTTTCTCTTCCATTTCTCTGATGGGTCCTTTCAATCTCTTTTGCTGGCTACTAAGCATTGGTGTTTCCCAAGCTTCTCTTCATGCCCCTCTTTTTTTTTACCTTTTATGTGGTCCCTCCCGGAAAATCTAATCAGCTTTTACTTCTTCAAAGACTTCAAGGGTAGGCTGATGATTCTAATCTAAAATACTGTGTTTCTAGCTTCCTATGCCCCCTGCCTCTTGTCCCTCTTCCTTGGACTTCCTGTCACAGTTACTTTACTCTCAACATGTCCCAAATAAGCACCAGATATCCAGACTGCCGTCCTAGACTCCTCTCTCTCCCCGACCCATCAGATCCCATTAGTCATTCAGCTCCAGCTCATCGTAACTCCATGCCCTCCTCTTCTCCATCACCCCTGCCCTGCACTAATTCAGGCCCTTACTACCTCTTGCTTGAAGTGGTGCAACAGCATTCCAATTGGTCTCCATTCATCCCCGTGGATGCCACAATGCGCTTTCTAAAACAAAAGAACTGATCGTGTCATCTCCTGCCTTAAAATCCTTCAATGATCCCCATTCCCTGGAAGAGAAAGCTCAGTCTTCTCAGTATGGTCAACAAGATCCCGCACAACATGAACCCTGCCTCTGTCTTCAGCCTCAACTCCCACCATCCTCCCTGCCATGCACTACCCTCCTGAAGCACAGAGCGACCTCTGGTCTTCTTATTTATCACATGCTGTTCCACGTTGCCACACTACTGAATATGCTGTTCCCTTGGCCTGAATATCCTCTCCCCTGCCTTGCTGTACTCATCCGTCAAGGGTGGACGCATGTTCCACTCCCCTGTGAAGGCGATCCTCACTCCTGTCTGATCGCTCTAACCTCAGACCTTCTGTGTGTTGGTACAAACGTCAATAACTCTCACACACACTGAGATTACAGGACTACATGCTTATGCCCCATACAAGACAAGGCCCATGTCTTTCTCATCAATTTACGTCCAGATTCTAGAACAATGGCTAGCATACAGGAAGCACCGATAAAGGTTACTGAATAAAAAAATGAATGTACACTTTCTAGTCTAACTTTGCATCTGTTTCCTGTTTGTAGTCAGCTGATAAAACTGTACAGCATTTCACAGTTTACAGTACACTTTAACTTGTATCATTAAATTCATGTTTTCAACAAGTACTTACTAGATACCAATTCAGATGGAGACCACCGGAGTGACACCGTCAGTAATGGAAGGGGGTGGGGCTACTCTGGAAAGGATGATCAAGGAAGGTCTTCAAGCTAAAGTCTAAAAGGATCTAAAGGATGGAAGGTATGAGTAGAGAGTGAACAGGCTTGAAACAAAAGCAAGAAGGCCAGTGTGGCTGGACCAGAACATGATAAACCGATTTATTTGACTGAAGCTTCTTAACCCATAAGATAAGGCATAACAGATAATCTCCAAATTCAAACATTAAGTGATTTTCCCAATTGATGAAGGAAGCTAGTAAAATCCAGACTCATCCCTACAAGCCAGGTTTTTCCCAAATCATTAGTTGTCTATGACATCTGTAGGTATAAACCCGTACTGTCCAATACAGCATCCATTAGCCATGTGAGCTCCTGAAATGTGGATAGTCCGAACTGATGTGTGTAAATGTAAAGTACACAGATTTCAAAGACTATCATGAAAAAAAAAAGGTAAAATATCTCATTGATAATTTTTTATATCCATCAATGTTGAATGAATGTTCATTGCAGCCCTATTTACAACAGCCAGAGCATGGAAGCAACCTAAATGTCCATCAACAGAGGAATGGACAAAGATGTGGTACATACGTACAATGGACTATTACTCAGCCATAAAAAGGAACTTGCAGAGGCATGGATGGACCTAGAGGCTGACATACAGAGTGAAGTAAGTCAGAAAGAAAAAAATAAGTATCGTATATTATTGCATATATGTGGAATCTAGAAAAATAGTATAGATGAACTTATTTTCGAAGCAGAAATAGAGGCACAGATGTAGAGAACAAACGTATGGATACCAAGAGGGGAAGGGGGGTGGGATGAACTGAGAGATTGGAAATGACATATATACACTACTATGTATAAAATAGATAACTAATGAGAACCTACTGTATAGCACAGGGAACTCTACTCGGTGCTCTGTGGTGACCTAAATGGGAAAGAAAGCCAAAAAAGAGGGGACAGATGTATCCATATAGCTGATTCACTTTGCTGTACAGCAGAACCTAACACAACATTGTAAAGCAACTATACTCCAAAATGTATATGCGAAATCACACTATCTGTGCCCATCCAAGTCAGAGAACAGCTGTAAGAACCTGAGTTCTCCATTTTCTGATTATATTTTGTTTCATTTTCACAATAAAGAGGAAACAGAATGAGCTTTAAGAAAAAAAATCAATGTTGAATGATATTTTTGATAACTGGGTTAAATAAATTATTAAAATTAACATCACCTGTTTCTTTTTACCACTAGAAAAAATTTTAATAACATATGTGGCTCGTATTTTTGTTTCTATTGGACAGCACTGGTGTATAACCTCCAGGATAACCGTCTTAAACTAGAAGCTCCCGGAAGCCAGTCCCTTGAAAATTCTGCGGTGATGACTGAGCCTTGCACCGGCCCTCCCAATCCCAGTTTTAACTCCAGCTCTGAGATCCGTGAGTAGCTTAACTTTTCTGAGCCTGGTGGGGACAGGATGGGGGTTCATGCTTCCAACGTGAACAGTAAACGTTCCCAGGCAATACCGGCAGCCCCGTAAGGGCCGGCTCACCCGGTAGCTCGCGAAGGCCTCGTCGACGGGGGCCATGGTGTGGGCCTGGTGCTCCTGGGACTCCCTGCACACCAAGCACACGAGCCGCTGATCGTCCTCGCAGAAGAGCCGCAGCGGCTCCCAATGGCGGCCGCATAAGCCGTGGGGCGCGGGGCCCAGGCGCCGGCGACGCATCCTCTCCGTCAGCCTGGCCAGGGCCCAGTTGGGCCGCATCGCAGTGGGCGCCGACGGCTGCCGGCACTCGGGGCAGGGAACCGGGCTGCCGCTCTGCGCCCAGCTGCGGCGCAGGCAGCCGCGGCAGAAGTTGTGGCCGCACTCGATGGACACCGGGTCCTCGAAATAGTCCAGGCAGATGGAGCAGGTCAGCTCCTCCTGGAAGTCCTCGGCCTCCATGCTGCTCCTCGGACCCAGAGCCGGAGTCGTGGTTGGATGAGAGGTCTGCAGGCTGCGAGAGGTGGCCTTTGGACCCACGGCCACCGCCTCCGGCGGGAGGGAAAAGTGCAGCCTCTTCCGGGGTTCGGCACCCAGCGGGGCCGCGCAACCGCCGGGCGGCGGCCCTTTCCCACGCGTACTGAGGGCGCCAACCGCGCGAACCTCCGGGTTTCCTCGCGAGGGCTGCGCGCTAGGCGTGACGGGACTGCGGGCTGCAGCTGGACGAACAGTAGAGATGCGGAAGTCCCCCAAGAAGCCTAGAGAGGCCTCAAGGAGCCCTTAGTTAGGGGGACGCGCCGGAATGCGACGACTGCGCAGCTGCAGCAGCTGCTGGTGAAGCAAAAGGGTCAGGTGCCCATTAACTTCGTCTGGCCTTCAGGTTTGCGGGGTGAGGTCAATGTTCGCCGTCCGCTCCGGAAGATTTAGGCTCTGGAGTCCTAGGCGAGCTGCTGCCCAGAAGGGCGTTCCAGGCGGGCAGCAGCCTAGCGGCAGAAGGGTCAGAAGAACGAGGCGCATCTGTGCGGCCGGGCCTGGAGTGCGGTTAAGGAGGCGCCGTGCCCCGTAGGCTGGCTCTTCTTGAAGTCTCTCCTTTTTCTTTCAGCCTCATTCTCCAGGAGAGGAAGCCGTTCTTGTCCTCCAACCCCAAGGTCTAGTTGAGTTTCTAGAAAGGCAGGATTTCTGGCTCCCCACACGAAGCCCACCAACTCGAAGCCCACAAGCTCTCCTGGAGTTCGAGGATTCAGGCGAACTGGAGAGCCAGTTTTCTACGAGGCGACCAGGGAAGGGAGTGTTTAGCCCCACGACCTAGTGGGGAGCTGTCTGATCACTCTGCACTCTGATTTCCCTCTCTTTCTTCCCCAGCACAAGAGACACACCAGGTAGAGGAAGCCCATTCTTAGAGCAGGGGCCTCACTCACCCAGTGCAGATAGAGGGTCTAATAATTAAGTTAGGGGAAAGAATCTAGGGTTAGATGGTCTTCCCCAGGTTTGAGACTTCCCACCAGTATTTTAGGTGATTCAGTGCGGAGGAGGACTGTGGGCTAAAGGATGCTCTAAGCCAGCTCTGGGTGATCTGCTATGAGCGGCTGTCATCCTATATGCTAGGAAGGAGCAGATCCTGTAGCTGCTGGTGCTGGAGCAGTTCCTGACCGTCCTACCTGAGAAGGTCAACACCAGGTTGTGAGAGCAGTACCTGGAGAGTGGAGCTGAAGCTGTAGTTTTTCTGAGGGCATTGTGAAAAAACTTATAGCATCGGGAGAGTGGTGGGAAGGAAATGAGGTGTTTTAAGTTAAGATTCAGAAGCACAGATGCATTGCTTTTTGGTACCCAACTTGAAGATGGCAACCGTTTTGCTATCCCAAGGCACATCCATTGAGGTTTTCAACAAGCAGTGTGCTTGCCTGTTTCAGGGAATTATCTGTTCCTCATCAGTGGATTTTTGAGCTTGTGTTTCTGAGGTGCTTGGTTTTTTATTCTTCCCTCTATTCCTTTTCTTATGAAAGAAATTTTTAATTCTTCCTGTGTCCCAAAATCAGATACCACCTTTCCTGTAATATGCTCTGTAAGTGGTCACTGAATGTATGATTAAATGATTTGGAAAGGGGGTTCCTGAGATCACTATTTTGGGGTTTTGGTGAAAGTTCCACCGAATGTCTTTAAATGTTTACAACAGATAGCTGCGTTTTCCTTGTAAATTGGAATACTATCTTGAGAAGGAATCTGAGGGCATTCCCTGGCAGTCCAGTGGTTAGGACTCTGTGCTACTACTGCAGGGGACCCGGGTTCAATCCCTGGTCCCTGGTTGGGGGAACTAAGATCCCACGTCTCGCAAGCCACACGGTGCGGCCAAAAGAGAAAAAAAAAAAAGAGAGAGAGAGAAGGAATCTTGAGTCTTAAATATGGACCAAGCAGAATGAGGTGCTCTTATCAGTTACTGATGTTTGCCATGAGTATCTGTGGTGTGAGTGTCTTTGTATCTGTATGTCTGCCTTTGTATTGAACTATATCTCCTTAATGTCTTTGTGTCTTCAATCCTGCCACGCTCCTGAAATGAACATCCTGCTTTACTGAAAATATTGAGGCTCCCTGATTTACAATTTTATTCATATGGAATTCCAGGGGATCCCAATTGGCCAAACAATCTTGAAAAAGAAGAACAAACTAGGGGTACTCACACTTCCCAATTTCAAACGTTATTACAAAGCTGCAGCAATCAAAACATGGTACTGCTATAAGGATAGACACGTAGATCAATGGAATCGAATTGAGAGTACAAAAACAATGCCATACATCTACAAGCAGTTGATTTTCAACAGTGGTGCCAAAACCAATATATGTAGGGAAAATAGGCCTTTCAACAAATGGTGCTGGGACAACTGGATATCTCCATGCAAAAGAATGAAGTTGGACCCTTATCTCATACCATATACAAAAATTAATTCAAAATCAAAGACCTAAATGTAAAGCTAAAACTATAAAATTTTTAGAAGGAAACATAGGTCTAATCTTCATAGTCATGGATTAGGCAATGGTTTCTTAACTATAACACCAAAATCATAAGCAACAAAAGAAAAAATTGATAAACTGGATTTCATCAAAATTAAAACCTTTAGTGCATCAAAGGACACTCAATAAAGTGAAAGACCACCCACTGAATGGGAGAAAATATTTGGAATATAAGATCCTTAAGTCTGATAAGGATCTAGTATCCAGAATATATGAAGAACTCAACAATAAAAATACAAACAGCCCAATTTTAAAATGGACAAAGATTTGAGTAGACATTTCCCCAGAGAAGCTCTACAAATGGCCAATAAGCTCATGAAAAGATGCTCAACATCATTAGTCATTAGGGAAATGCAAATCAAAACCACAATGAAATATCACTTCACCCGCTAGGATGGCTAGAATTTAAAAATCAAACAAACAGAAAAATAAAAACAAAATACCAAGTGTTGGCAAGGATGCAGATTAAATTGGAATCCATTTGTACATTGCTGCTGGGAATGTGAAATAGTAAATAGTACAGCTGCTGTGGGAAAAAGGTTGGCAGTTCCTCAAAAATTTAAAGTGTTACCATATGCCCCAGCAATTTCACTCCTAGGTATTTACCCAAGAGAACTGAAAACATAAACAGAAACTAGTACATGAATGTTCGTAGCACCATTACTCAGAATAGCCCAAAAGTGGAAACAATCCAAATGTCCAGCTGAAAGATGAGTAAATAAAATGTGGTATAGCCATACAATGAAATAATAATCATAAAAGGAATGAGGTACTGATACATGCTACAACATGGATGAACCTTGATAACATGATGCTAAGTGAAAGAAGCCAGTCACAAAAGACCACATACTGTATGATTCCATTTGTATGAAAAGCCCAGCCTAGGAAAATCTGTAGAGACAGAAAGTAGATTAGTGGTTGCTTATGTTTGGGGGCGTGGGGATTTGCGGGTAACAGCTAAGCACTGTAGGGTTTCTTTTTGAATTGTTGAAAATTTTCTAAAATTGTGTCAATGGATACACAACTCTGACTATACTAAAAGCCATTCAGGGTTTCCCAGATGGCGCAGTGGTTAAGAATCCGCCTGCCAGTGGAGGGGACACGGGTTCGAGCCCTGGCCCGGGAAGACCCCACATGCCATGGAGCAACTAAGCCCGTGTGCCACAACTACAGAGCCTGCGTTCTAGAGCCCGCATGCCACAACTACTGAAGCCCGCGCGCCTAGAGCCCGTGCTCCACAACAAGAGACACTGCAATGAGAAGTCCGCACACAACGAAGAGTACCCCCTGCTCGCCACAACTAGAAAGTCCACGCACAGCAACAAAGACCCAGCGCAGCCATAAATAAATAAATTTATTAAAAGCCATTGAATTATATACTTTTAATGGGTGAATTATAGGGTGTGTGAACCATATGTCAATAAAGCTATTTTAGGGACTTCCCTGGTGGGGCAGTGGTTAAGAATCCGCCTGCCAATGCAGGGGACACGGGTTCGAGCCCTGGTCTGGGAAGATCTCACATGCCACGGAGCAACTAAGCCCGTGCGCCACAACTACTGAAGCCCGCGTGCCTAGAGCCCATGCTCCGCAACAAGAGAAGCCACCGCAATGAGAAGCCTGCGCACCACAGCAAAGAGTAGACCCCGCTCACAGCAACTAAAGAAAGCCTGCGCACAGCAACAAAGACCCAACGCAGCTATAAATAAATAAATTTATTTAAAATAAATTAATTAAAAAATAAAGCTATTTTAAAAGGGACACCATCAAGGAGGAATTCAGAATGATGACATTTGCTTTTTTTCTGTCCTTGGTCACTTGGCTGGGCTCTGGCTATGCTAGATACGGGATTCTTTATGAAACACTGTAGCAGAAAGAAAACTGTTACTTTGCTAGTTGTTGCCAAAGTGTCTTTGGGGAATCAAGTATCTTTCCTTAGGAATGAGCCTTCCTAATTTACTTGGGGATCATCTGAGATTCAGAGGATACAACCAAACCTGGAAACTGCTCTTTGTTGAGAATTTGAGGGCAAGGAAGAACTGAGAAGGGAAGTGTTTCTGCAGAAAAGGTGGGAGGCTGGGATGCTTTTGGACAGAAATGACTGAGAGACACAAGAAAAGAGAAGCCTGATATTCAGCATTAGATCATCTGCTGAATCACACTGTGATATAAATGTCCCTTACTGTTAGCCCTGAATCAGCAATAAAACTCTGCTGTCTTTTCTGTGTGATACTGAGAGGTATGAGTTTAAAAAGTAACGACTTGGCCCCTCCCCCCCCATATGAAACAATGGAGCAGCTGCAACGTACAAGGCAGAGAATGAGGACTGAGCAGAAATCAGATCTGTCAGTGGTCCAGGGTATGTAAGCCTCTGAATTCACAGGAATCTTCCAGAACAGTGTGGCTGAGTGTTTGAATACACTGAATCTATATATTAAAGGACCCTGGGTTACATATGCTTGGAAAGCCAGAGTTTCTGAATATGACATATATTGCAGGGCTGGATGCATTTATAGGTTACAAGATTTTAAAGGTGGGGGGAGCAGAGATGTGGACAGCAGGAAAGAGGAGTAGACTCATTGAGACAGGAAAGAGGATTGTCCTCAGCAACAGGAATGCCAGCAACAGTGGTCACTATTTATTGCGCAGGACAGAGAGGCACGGTTTTATGGAGGTTTCTGCTGGCTGACTCTGGAACCAAGCCCATGAAAATTGTGATGCTGACACCAGGGAATTCTGGTGAGGAGGCACAAGCAGGAGATCTCCAAGGAAAAGCTTCAGACACCGTGGCCCCCCAAGGCTCTTGGATATGCTTCAACAGCCTTTAATTTACCATGGAGATAGGCACCCCACTCACTGGATGTTCGGACAAAGATGCAGTCAGAGGGTTTCCTTCAGAGGTGAGCCAGGTGTCTTCATAATTCTGCAAAGTAGAGGATCAAGCAGAAGCTCAGCCTTTTCCTAAGCGGGAAGGGACCTAAATGGAAGGGCAGGAGGGACAATCAACTGAGCACTTGGGTCCTGGTTCATTGGAAGGAACCATCCAGTTGATGGGGATGCAGCTGGGCGATGGGGTGGGATGAATGGTTAGGACACCTCTGCGTAGAACCTGGTTTTCTACTTTGTAACTTGTGGGACTTGTACTTCCAGGAGGGTGAGGGGCTTGCCGTGGGGGATCATCAGGACCCATACATCAGGGACAGGTAGAAAGAGGGACATCACTGCCCCTCTCACCTGCTTCTGCAAACCGTTCTTTTGTTTCCACCACTGGAAAGTTATCAGTCGGTTCCTTGTGTCTTTGGGCGCTCTCTGAAGTTGGGAAGTAGTTAGAAGAGGGAGATTTGTGCTTCCAGATCTTCCACCGTCTCCCCAGGCCCAGGAGCACAAGCTCCAAAAGCGTGAACAAGAGACAGAGCCCAGTGACCCCAAACATGGTCTTCAGGAAGATGGTCTTCTCAGAGGGGCGAGACAGATTACAGCTTATACTACCAAGGCAAGGCTCTCGACGACACGCAAAGGAGCTGGGCATCTTGAACCCGTACAGATGGTACTGCCCCCCCAAAGCTGCCCCTTCAAGGGCCAGTCGCACCCCCAGCTGTGCCACATAGGCCCAGAGCACCCTGGGGCTTCCAGGCCCCAAGGCATCTCTGCTTTTCTCCCCTTGGCGGATCAGGGTCTCCTCTTCCTTCTTCACCTTTTCAGATTCCTCCCAGTGCCAGATCACATGATACAGAGTGAAACCCATGTAGAGGGCACTGGGTACAGCCACCAGGGTGACCTGGAAGGCCCAGAAGCGCAGCGGGGAGAGAGGGTGGAAGGCATCGTAGCAGGCAGCCTTGCAGCCCAGCTGCTGCGTGTGGCACACGAACTCGCTCTGCTCGTCGCCGTAGACCCCCGTCCCACTGGCGGCCAGCAGCATGAGGCGGAACCCCAGGAGCACGGGAAGCAGGAGGCGGCCCACGGGGGTGGAGTGCCGGCTCTCCTCCACCACCAGCCGCCTCAGGAACCTGCCGCGCATCCTGTTAGGGAGCAGAGGGCAGTGGTGAGTGTAGGTGTAATGCCCACTGTCCAGTGGGAGAAGTGCCGGGCCAGCTCTTCACTCCCAATCCAACGGTGACTAAGGCAGGCTTCCTTGCTCCTCTCCTAGGACCTGGCTGATCAAATAGCATGACCTGAGGGCACCTCTTTATAGCTAACTGAATTATCTATGTAGAATATTAATAGTGAGCGAGTGTGGGTGTGGCTTTCTCTTCTGTCCCCCTCCTGTACTGCTGGAGGGGAGAGGAACTCTAGGCCTGCGGGGAGGCCAGGGTCAGTCTTTGTCTGTCTCTTTCCCTCCCTCCCGCTCCTGCTTCCCAAAGGCTAAATAGTCAGAGACCCGAGTCCTCTGAAGACCATTGCTTCCCTAGGTGATGGCTGCTAGGTCTGGTGCTACTGTCAGTGTCACCTGAACGAAATCAGTGCTGCCCCTGGGAGGGGTGTGCATTGCATTCTCTGGCTTCAGGCCCCCAGGTGCTCACAGGTATGTCAGTCCGGCCCCCATCACAGTGGTGAGACTGAGGTGAGGTTAGGTTAAGGGGCTCGGTGGGGATCCAGTGAACAGAGTGAATGTCAAGGCTTGCTCTAGTCTGATGTTCTTCAGACCTAACCAGCTTAGGAAAGGAGAATACTTTGAAGAAAACCCAGCAGAATCTACTGGTTAAACATAATGGTGTTTGGGCCAATGCCAGAGGTGACTGGATCAAAATTCAAAATTCAACTCTGCTTTGTCATTGCTCCTTGGGTTTACATCTCCCTCGTGGTGAGAGGTGACCATGGTCGAGGACAGGCTTCAGAAATTCTTCTGTTCTCTGGACAAAATGCCGTCATGCTACAAGCCCAGTTTGCCATCTTCTCTGTCCCCCTCAGCAGCCCTGCTCAACGCCAAGCTTCTCTTCCTAGCCCTTCCCCTTCAGCCCAAACTCTTACATACCTGGTTCCCCTCACTCTCAGAAGACCACGCAAAGCTCTTATTCCAGAGAAAATAGACTCGTTAGTGTGAAACCCTGAAGCTCCTCCTTCTCGTATCTTCACAGTCACGTCCTGCTGTAGCATCTCAGAGAAAGAAGTGTCTTTCCACTTGTGCAAGGCTGCCCTCCCTTTCAACTCTGTGTCCCTGGGGCACTCCTTCCAGCTTCCTCAAGAATTTGACCCCCTAATTATCTTTTCTGTAATTCAGACCATCCTTGTTTCTGCCCTGACCTTGAACTTGCTTAGGTTTCTTCCTGTTAAGTCTAATAATAATAACTTGAATTTCTAAGTTAACATGGCAGCAAGTGAGACAAGCCTAATTTATCTCACGTCGGCTTCCCAATTATAATACCCAGAGAGATGCACAAAACAGCCTGAGTATTAGTGTTATAAACTATAGATAAGAATGGACCACATGCCAAAACTTAGGCAGAATGGTCACTTTTGTGCAATCAAAAGAGACGGATTGAGATGCTTCCAAGGGACAGTTCTAAGGGCCTCAGTTGACCAGAGAATTATGTCACCATCCACCAACTGTGAGAAACCATATTTGAGCCACTAAGAATCAGAGTCTGAACCTCTGCCTGCCCCTCAGTCCCTGTCTTTCTTCTTCCTTCATAGACTGTGAAAACTTAGAAGTACGTCAGGCTGCTGAAAATTCTTTTCTATAAAATTGGGTTAAAATTTCTAGAAGGAATTTATTTCCAGTCTCTAGAAAGATGCAGAATTGGTCCCATGATTAAAGATGGCATATTGAAGATAAAGATTTATCCCTTCTCATCCCTAAGACTCCTCAAAAATGAGAGTCAATGGATCTTTACATGTGTACACCCACTATAAATAGAGTAGAAGAAAGATCATCAGCTTGATCTTTGCAGGCAATAGGACAGATTCTGGGGGAAATTAGATCAGGATGCCAGAAAGCACATTGGATAATTCTCCCAGAATTCAAAGGAAGAAGATGAATAATTGAAAATAATAAAAGATAGGGCTTCCCTGGTGGCGCAGTTGTTGAGGGTCCGCCTGCCGATGCAGGGGACGCAGGTTCGTGCCCTGGTCCGGGAGGATCCCGCGTGCTGCAGAGCAGCTGGGCTCGTGGGCCGTGGCCCCTGGGCCTGAGCGTCCGGAGCCTGTGCTCCGCAGCGGGAGAGGCCGCAGCAGTGAGAGGCCCGGGTACAGAAAAAAAAAAAAAAAAGATAAATAGATAAGGAACAAAATCTGTTTCTAATTTGGAAATCAAGACAACAGTAAAACAAAGTCACTAGCTTACGTATTGGTGAGAAAGCACTTCGTGAAGTGTCTAGGAAAGAAGTGGTTTCTCCATAAATGTTTCAGTTTTGTTTGGTGAAAACTGAGCTCCACAGCAAGTTTCAAGGCTGGTCCTGGGTTTCTCAACCTTGGCACTGTTGATGCTTGGAGACTGATAATTTTTATTTAGGGATAGCAGGGGTGGGGTCCCACGCTTTGTAAGATGTTTAGCAGCATTCCTGGCCTCTATCCACTAGATGCCAGTAGCATACTTCTCCCCTCCCACCCACAACTGTCTCCAGGTACTGCTAAGTGTCCCCTGGGGTCAAAATCACCCCTGGTTGAGAACCACTGCTTTAGGGTAGCACTGGTCCATCACCTCTCCACTCTTGGCTTCAGTTGCCAGCTCTGTAAAGCAAGATGTCTGCACCAGAGCATCTCAGAGGGCTTTTGTAGGGCATGATAATCAGCCCATTTCCAGGCTGGTTGTACATCCTCCCGTGAGGATGCCTGCAGCCTCTCCCACCTCATAAGTTCAAAGGGTCCCAGCACTTCGGGTTGGGGGAGAGCCCTGGGCTCTGGGGGTTTCTGCCCTGGCCCTCCTGGCGAGTCACCAGACTAAATGTTAACTTGGTAAATTCTCAAGTCAAGCTCTCCGCCTCGTCTCATTTCCAAGTGCAGGCCCAGCACTGTCTACACATGTTGCCAGCACATCCCCAGCAGACCTGGAATTTAACACAGAGCAGCCCTGGCATATTCCAAGTGTCGGGAGTTTGAGTAGCTTCCTGAAGCCCTCTCTCTGGTTCTTCTTTCCCGTGCCCACCCCAGACCTGTAGCCAGACACCCAGATGTCCTCTGAGAGGCTCTCAGAACCGAACTGAGGTCTCCAGGGCTCACCACGGAGCTTTGGGGATTTGGAAGGGAGAGAACAGAAAAAGCAGGGCAAGAGGGCTTGCTTGAGATCCCTTGGTTTGGAGCACCCTTCCTGCCCTTTGCCCCGCGGCTGTTATAACCAAAACAATGCTTATTCAACACACATTCCAGGGCCTCCTGGAGGGTGCAGACAATAAATATCCTGCTCCATCTCCCCAAGTCTGCAGACCAAAGGGAGTTTCCTATAAACCGAAGCTCAAACACAGCTGTCAGTCCTCCCTCCTCCCCTGCTTTCCTGGGACCCAGTGGTCTCCCCATCTGTTCCAGCCGTCCCCAGCCCACCCCTCTCGTTCTCTGAGACCCGCGTCCTCCTCCCACAAACACATCTGCAGCTTTGCCCACAGGGGGCCAGAGACCCCAGGCCAAACTTCGAGACCTAGGGAGCTGAGGGCTCAGCATTGTTGAGAAAATTCAAGGGACCACTGTTTCTCCAAGGGGAGAAAGAGTTTGCAAATCAATTTATTCTGGAGGGGGCTGGCAGGATCTGAGCCCTGTCAAGATTTTAGAAGCAGTTCCTATGAGCTCAAGAGTTGGGAGAAGGAGGAAAACCCAGAGTTTGAGGGGATTTTCGAATACGTAAACAGATTTTTTAAAATTCCATAGCAATTCTGTTAGGAATTTTTCTGAGCATCTCTTGTTCTTTGGGAGAAAAATTTCAGGATACTGTGGGCGGCAGAATCCGCCTCAGAGAGTTAAGGCGTGAAGGAAGGACGTCCACTGAGGCCAGCACTAGAGCAGCTCCCTGCTTCCAGCTCACCCCACCTGGCCTAGAAAACATTCTAGATCTTTTACTAAAGCGCGGTCCATGGTGCAGCAGCCCTGTCATCACCAGGGGTGCAGAACCTCAGGCCACATCCCAGGCTTAGCAAGTCAAGTCTGAATTTTAATAATAATCCCCAGGCCATGGGCGTGTGCATTAGAGTTGCAGATGGCAGATGCACAGCCCAGAGCCCCAGGCAGTCCCCACCACCACTACCCCAGGCCCTGTGCCAGCCCAGCTTTGCTCTACCCTGGCACTCACCTGGCAGCTTCAAGCAGAAGCACCAACAGCGGGGGGGAAAGAGGCAGAGGTAAGAGCCCTCAGGCTGGAGCCCGCAGGGTCCCAGCTCTCCCCCAGGCCCTGCCTCCAAGCCTCCACCCACTCCTCCCCCCCCCCCCTTGTCTTTCCTGGCAGCCTTAGCGCAGGGTCAAAGAATTGCAGCCAGAGGGGCAGGCAGCCCAGCTGCTAAAGAATGGGCTCTGGAGAATAACCCTCTGTTGTCGAGGGTGAGGGCTCTGTCTTCTAAGTGAACTGAAATGGGGATTCTCAGATCATCTGAAAGGGGGGCAAAGGCCTAGGCATGTTTTCAATATAGGGACTTGCAGGCAACAACAGAATAGAATTCCACACATTTACCTCTGGACATCCTCTCTTCTTGGCTGGGAGAAACGGGCTCTCTGCAACTCAGGGAGCCCAGCCCCTCTCCACCAGGCCCAGGGAAGATTGCAGCACCTGAGTTCCAGATACTGGCCCTGTGGAGATCTGGAGCATCATTCCACTATTTTCTAGCATTTAACATTGTTATAGAGAAGTTCAAGTCCACCTCAATAGTCTTCATCTTTTAAGTGATTTGATCTTTTTGACAGTTTGCCGAATGGATGATTTTTTACCTTTGAAGCCTGTTCACTCCTCCAGGGGATACTATTCAGCTAGACGTAGAAATCTCTCACTGGCTCTTTCCTGTTCACATCTGGTACACAGGAAATATGGATGCATCCTTAGGGCCAAGAAACTCTGGGCATACAGGCCATTTCCAACACAGCCACATCTCCTTCCGTTCATCTGCTGGATATCCTATCTCCTGCCTTTTTGATTTATCAGTTGGGAATCAACACACTGGAGCCCCTCTCACTAGGCATGAGATACAGGAGGCAGCACCCTCACCGCCTTCGCTTGGGAGAACTAATATCACATCTCTTTCCAAGGCATCTCTTTCCCTCCAGAGTTAATCCTCTCTCCCTCTAATTTCCAACAGCTCTGCCATTTTATACAACTTGGACGTGGGTGTAGAGTTCGAGCGACATAACTTATTTATTTGGTTTTCCTTTGAAATATTGCATTTTAGACTAACAAATCACTTTAGAATGTCATACGTGTTCTATTTTCTAAAATATTCCATCTTGAAATCCCCGTCCAAATTTCCAATACCTTGTTACACCAACATCTATTTAGTTGCTTAATAAATGATAGATATTCTAAGTGCTAAATGGTTATTAATTCACACTTCGTAACAACTTTATGAAGTAACTACTGTTACTGCCCTCTTACAGAGGAGAGAAATGAAGAATGGAGAAGTTAAGTAACTTGTAAAAGGTTGACCAGCTAGTGAGTAAAGGAGATGGGATCTGAAAAAGCAATCTGGCTGCAGATAGCAAACCCCTAAACACTACTGTACTCTTAGCCTCATCGTATTTCAAATTACCAGCCTTTAAAGACCTTTTGATGGCAAATCCACTATAATTTCATACCTTCAAGAAAATAAAAATCCTCTGCTGGCATTTTCTCCATCTTAATGACTAGCTATGCCACCAACCCTGGATTCCAAGCAAAAACTTAGGTGTCATCACTGACAACTTCTCCTTCATTGAACACATCTTACCATTCTACTGGTTGTACAGATTTCTGTCCCATGAATTAAGAAGGTGCCTTAGTTCCAGACTGAGTTACCGGGACTTCCCTGGTGGCGCAGTGGTTAAGAATCCGCCTGCCAACGCAGGGGACATGGGTTCGAGCCCTGGTCTGGGAAGATCCCACATGCCGAGGAGCAACTAAGCCCATGTGCCACAACAACTGAGCCCGCGCTCTAGAGCCCGTGCTCCACAACAGGAGAAGCCACTGCAATGAGAAGCCCACACACTGCAATGAAGAGTAGCCCCCGCTCGCAGCAATGAAGACTGAATGCAGCCAAAAATAAAGAAAGAAGGAAATTTACAAAAAAAAAAAGAAAGACTGAATTACCAAAATGTCACCCTAGTGTCGCTCTTTCTAGACTTGTCCACCTCTAATGCATTCCCTGCATTGCAGACAATATTTAATTCAATTCTTATTTAGATTTACCCACATGTTTACCAGTTTCTTTGCTCAGTGTTGCTTCTTCAATTTTATGCCTTCCTCCGGATTAAATCTTTTTCTCCTTCTTTCTCTCTCTTTTTTTTTTTCTTGGTGACCATGGTCTTAACCATTTCTGTGTTCATTTTAGTAGTGTTAAATATATTCACATTGTTGTTTTTCAGTGGATTTCCAGAACTCTTTCATCTTGCAAAACTGAAACTTTGTACCCATTTCTACCTGCCCTCAGACCCTGGCAACCATCATTCTATTTTCTGTTTCTATGAATTTGACTACTTTAAACCTCTCATATCAGTGGAATCATAGAACATTGTGACTGACTTATTTTCCTTAGCGTGATCTCTTCAAGGTTCATTCATGTTGTAACATCTATCAGAACTTCATTCCTTTTTCTAAAAATTTATTTATTTTTGCTGTGTTGGGTCTTCATTTCTGTGCGAGGGCTTTCTCTAGTTGTGGCAAGCGGGGGCCACTCTTCATCGCGGTGCGCAGGCCTCTCACTATTGCAGCCTCTCTTGTTGCAGAGCACAGGCTCCGGACTCACATGCTCAGTAGTTGTGGCTCTCGGGCCTAGTTGCTCCGCGGCATGTGGGATCCTCCCAGACTAGGGCTCGAACCCGTGTCCCCTAGCATTAGCAGGCAGATTCTCAACCACTGCGCCACCAGGGAAGCCCAGAACTTCATTCCTTTTTAAGGTTAGATGATATTCCATTGTGTGTATGTATGTGCCACATTTTGCTTATCCATTCATCCATTGATGGACAGTTGGGGTGTTTCCACCTCTTGGCTATTGTGAATAATGGGCTATGATCATAGGTGCACTTAATTTTCTTCTTGAGGTACAACCTTTAGTATTTCTTCTACTAGGGAACTGTCTAGGGGTAAGCTCTCCTTTTTTCCTTCTTTTTTTTTTATTGAGGTATAGTTGATGTACAATATTATACAACATAGTGATTCACAATTTTTAAAGGTTATATTCCATTTATAGTTACTATAAAATATTGACTATATTTCCTGTGTTGTAAGATATATTCTTGTAGATTATTTATTTTATATGTAGTAGTTTGTGCCTCTCAATCCCCTACCCCTCTCTTGCCCCTCCGCCCCTTCCCTCTCCCCACTGGTAACCACTAGTTTTTTCTCTATATCTGTGAATCTGTTTCTTTTTTGTTAGATTCATTAGTTTGTTGTATTTTTTAGATTCCACATGTAAGTGATATCATACAGTATTTGTCTTTCTCTGTCTGAGTTATTTCACTTAGAATAATACCCTCCAGGTCCATCCATGTTGTTACAGATGGCAAAATCTTATTCTTTTTTATGGCTGAGTAGTATTCCATAGTGTGTGTGTGTGTGTGTGTGTGTGTATCACATTTTCTTTGTCCATTCATCTGCTAATGGACACTTAGGTTGCTTCCATATATTGGCTATTGTAAATAATACTGCTATGAACACTGGGGTGCATGTATCTTTTCGAATTAGTGTTTTCATTTTTTCTTTTTACTATATACCTAGGAGTGGAATTGATAGGTCATATGGTAGTTCTACTTTTAGTTTCCTGAGAAACCTCAATACTGTTTTCCATAGTGGCTGCACCAATTTATAGTCCCACCAACAGTGCAGGAGGGTTACCTTTTCTCCACACCCTCTCCAGCATTTGTTATTTGTAGAGTTTTTAATGATGTGTTTGCCCCTTTAAAAAAATCTCCTTCTCCCAACCCTCCAGGGTATCCATCTTCCTAAAATATATATTTATCATACCTTTATCTTTTTATACTTTTAACACATATCTACTTTGTTTAAAATCTGTTTTTAATGTTGCCTGTTTTTACTTTTTATATATGTGGTAGAATTATACAGTTCTGTGATTTCCTTTTTGCCTCTGTATTATATATTTTTAGACTCATACATGTTAACATGAGTATGAATGTAAGTAATGCTCATACATGCAGTTGAAGTCCATTAATTTTCACTGCTGTGTAGTTCTTCATTGTTTAAATAAACCACAATGATTTATATGTTCTAATATTGATGATATTTGGGTTGTTTCTCAGTTTTGCTATTTCATCAATATTGTTATGCACATTTCTCATACATTTCTATATCTGCACCCATGCAAGATTTTCTTTAGAGTTTTCATCTTTGAGGAATTACCAGAATGTAGACTAATGTTAGATAGAATATACCCAATCCTATAAGGCAATGCCTAACAGTTTTCTGTGATCATGACCGTTTGATTTTAAGTTGCATTTTTCTGAATATTAATGATGTTGATCTACTTTTTATATGTTTGGGGGCCATTTGTGCCTCCTTTTCTTGCCTAGAGTAGACTGGGTAATGCCCCCCAAGATATGCACATCCCAATCCCCAGAACCTGTGAATGTTGCCTTATATGAAAAAGGGACTTTGCGAATGTGGTTAAGGATATCGTGGGACTTCCTTGGCCGTCCAGTGGTTAGGACTCTGCGCTTCCACTGCAGAGGGCATGGGTTCAATCCCTGATTGGGGAAATAAGATCCTGCATGCCACTAGGTGTGGCAGGAAAAAAAAAAAAAAGTTAAGGATCTCGAGATGTGGACATTTCCATGGATTGTCTGGGTGTGCCCAATGAAATCACAGGGTTCTTTATAAGAAGGTGGCAGGCAGTCCCGCCAATAACTCACCGTAAATATAAATTCACACATAGTTTAAAAGTAAAAGGATGGAAAAATATACTTAGCTAACACTAATCAAAAGAAAGCTTGAGGGCTTCCCTGGTGGCACAGTGGTTGAGAATCTGCCTGCCAATGCAGGGAACACAGGTTTGAGCTCTGGTCCAGGAAGATCCCACATGCCGCAGAGCAACTAAACCCGTGCGCCACAACTACTGATCCTGCTCTCTAGAGCCCGTGAGCCACAACTACTGAGACCATGTGTCACAACTACTGAAGCCCACGCACCTAGAGCCCGT